CATCAGTGTGCAAAGGAGGAAGGGAATGGAGGTAACAGCTGCCCAGTGAATTTTAATTCAATGTGAGGTTAGTCTAGATAACACATGTTGCTAAACCACAAGGCTGGAGCCCAAATAGGTCTTGTAACATGGTAACCTGGTCAGGTAACCTGAATGTAATTGTGCTGGCAGAAACCTTTATGGTCACTAATGCTGTAGAACTGGCCCCTGACATCCCCACAGCTGCCACCCAGGCCCCTGGCCTTCCTTTTCTCCCAACTCTGGGACTAGTTCCTCTCTCAAGAGTCACTGTAATGCTGCTGAGCCTTCCTGTGCCCATTGTTTGTGGTCAGAGTACTCAGCTGGCGCTTGGGCATCCTCTCCTCATCCCACCATATCACCCCTCTGCCTCAGGGGCCATGGCAGCTCAGAGGGGCCAGCGGAGCTGCAGCACCATGAAAACTTAATAGAATCACAGAATGGTTTGGGTTGAAAGGGACCTTGGTTACAACCCCCCTGCCATGGGTAGGGACACCTTCCACTAGACCGGGTTGCTCAAAGCCCCGTCCAGCCTGGCCTTGAACACTGCCAGGGAGGGAGCAGCCACAGCTTCTTTGGGAAACCTGTGCCAGGGCCTCACCACCCTCATAGTGAAGAATTTGTTTCTTATATCTAACCTAAATCTACCCTTTTTCAGTTTAAATCTCATCCTATCACTACACTCCCTGATAATGAGGCTCTCCTTTAAGTACTGGAAGGCTGCTACATGGTCTCCCTGGAGCCTTCTGTTCTCTAGTCTGAACAACCCCAGCTCTCTGAGCCTGTCCCCATCTTTCCGAAGACTAAACAAAACTTCCAGTAACAAAGCTGCATGTATGTTCTTGTCACTGCAAAGACGCCAAGGAGTGCTAGCTGCTCGTCCAAGGCAGAGTGGCAACTACACCAAAGAATTCAGATTCAAGAAGATGAGTTTTCCAAGGGCTGGAGATGCTCTTGCTTTCTTTCACTGACTATTTCAGTCTTTACCAGCCTTCCCCAGCTGCCCTCAAGCTAGTTGTTTAGCTGCTGTTCTCCTGAGTGGGACAGAGATGACAATGTTGTTCCAAGGCTTGGCAACCTTGGAAGCAAGACACGCTGCTGATACCAGAACAGACATGGCTGTATTTGCTGATTTAAAACCCCAAGGAGAGTCCAGAGGAAGTTATCTGCTGGTCCAAACCAAGGTTGTTTGGGAAGCCTGGTGTGCTGGCAGGCTCTGCCCTACATCACCCTGTTGAGGTTGTCACAGGAGCCTGCTTGGTCTTTCCCTGCAGCACTGATTCCAAGCAGTTTGTTTCTGATCCCTGTGTCACTTTGCTGAGTCTGACAGAGGACATCTCATCCTCAGCATGCTCAGCAGGGTGGTTTCCATCCTGCACTCCAGAAGGCTGCTGCACTTCGGGCATTGTGTGTGTGCTCCTTGGCAAGGTTCAGCGCCCTTTTCCTTTGGGCAGGGGAAAGAGCTCCATGGGGAAATTTCCCTGCCTTATGCCAGCAGCAGGACTGTGTGCCCCATGGTCCTGGCACGGGACAGGGGTGGAATTATGTCTCACTTGTGCTGCCTGGGAAACAGCAACTGAAATCTGCCACCACTGCAAAAGTTTGTGGCTCTTGGGAGCATCTCCCTTCTCTGATTTGTGGGGCTGGTGCTGCCCACACGGCCATCACAAGGCATGGCACTGCTGGGGGGAGGTCAGGGCTGGGTATATCTCCGTTCCCACACCCCTGGCTCCATCCCGTATCTCTATTCTTCCTTCAACACTTCAGGCTGCTTATTTACGCCAAGGCACAGTCATGTTTTTGGTGTGCATGTCTCCCCTTCCCTGAGGAGCAGGGCTGGGGAACTCTGCGCTCTCCCATGAGCTCTGACTCGACTTGCCACGTGGCTTGGAGTGAGATTGTTGTTTTAGTTTTTGTTATTAACCTCACTGTGCCTCAGTACCCCATTTGGGATAAAAAAAAAAAAAAGGGGATGGACCCAGTTCTGGAAAGCAATCTGGGAGCTCTGCATTTAGCATGGTGCTACGCTTTCCTGGGTATCTACATATCTGGCTGTTAACGCTTTTGTTCCCAAGTGATGCTTGAGTCTCTGCTAGGAAGTAGAGCCCTTTTTCTTTTTTTAAATAAAAACCAGCAAACCCAGCAAGTTGGCATCACTCATTCACCCCACAGCTTTGCCTCCTGCCCGCTGCAGTCTGCGGCGCTGGGCTGTCACTGACCTACTTCGCTGGGGGCTGCGCCGTGCCTAGCGTGCTGGAGGCAGCCAGAGAGGGGTTGCTTCGTTATTAAATGACTAATTAATTAATCGGGGGGCGTGGGGGGGGGCGGAATTTGCTGTCCGGTGGTGGTGCAAGGCTCTGCGCGGCTGCGAAACAGATGTCTGCAAATAAAACCGTGAGATACGAAGCGGGCTGTGGTCGTCTCCTCCTTCGCGTCCCCGGTTCTGGGCCGCGGGCAGGCGGGACCCT